AAGAGTCAAAAAACAAATAGGAAAACACCAATTTAAATCTAAAGCTCCCTCTGATTAGAACAATCTTCCCTCATCGATTCAAGCATTCACTCTGTTGCTTCATTTAAAAATGTTCTGGTTCAATATTTAAGAATGTTTTTGATCATTTTGTTGTTCATCTTGTTGTATTTTGTGACTATATTTGAACTCTGTCTTAGTTTGTGTTCAAATTTGATTTATATGTGTCTAACAGTCTTGCGTGAGTGAGTGTGTATATGGTTGTGTTGATTTTATCGTCTTGTTTATTCGATGTTAAGTTGAATGTATATAGCCGACTGTCTGCCCTACTGTATCTGTCTTCTGCTGTTGTAACTATGACGACACCTTGAAAATGAGATGGCGAGACATCTCAAGTGGCTTATCTTCCAAACAAATAAATTCAGTTCATACAGAAATTCAATGTTTCTCAACTCCATTAATGATAAAAGAAGTAGAACCAATTTCACAGTGGTTTTCAAATTCATTACAACTAAATTCTGCTGTCTGGGTCTATAACAGGTCTATTTCAAGTATAAATTAAGTCTAAACCAGGTCTTAAAGGTCTTATATTACACAAAATTGACTCTTGTGAGCTTTGTTTTTTTATTGTTAGCTAATTAAAACCATACCTAGAGTTGTGTTTTGTTTTATTCACACCTTCTAGTGGAGTTCTGTATGGAATTCTGTACATGACGCCACAAGGTTGAGTGTTTTCAGTTTGAGAGAAGAACTGAGCCTAAATATGCAGGATTTGTCTGCTAAACGTGTAAATGAAACACACTATTTTGATGATGATACAACATCAGAACATCAGAAAATAGAACTACACCACAGTGGTTCTAACCAAGACCAAAAGGTGAATAAAAGTGACTCACTAGTGCACACGAAACAAAGTTAGAGAAACAGAGCTCTAAAACATAATAAATAAATGTTAATCTATTTTAGCTCCTGGACGTGGCATTTTCAAACCATTTCGAAACTTGTGTTCATGTTGCGAGGAGTAGCATCACATTCATCACCATAGTTTTCTCATGTGTCTGCTACAACAAGACTGGTGGACAAAAGCGGCTCTAACTCAAATTGAAAGACCAAATGGGACAGATGGCTGCTGGATTCAGGTGTGGGGGAGAATGTATTACAGAGTCTACATGGGCAGGTTTTACAGGGTACTGCTGTTTAATATGCTGCAGGAGATGGAGCGTCGTGTTGGCCCGGCTGTGGGAGGGGAGCTGAGATGGATTGGCGCAGGATTCCTCTCTTAATAAATGTTTAAAGCCCATTCACACACAAAGAAGAGAGAGAATGAGAAAAGGGGATCGCAGAGAATGAGTGATACAAATAAACGACAATAGGCTGCACTCGAATGTTGTGCAACCAATAGGTTGTTTATTTGGATCACTCACTCTCTATCCCCTCAGAATAAGAATTGTATGGTTGAATTTGCTGTTGAACTGCTGCAGATGTTTTGACCAGGTTTATGATTAATATCTCAAATTACTGGGCCTGTCCACATGAAACAAAAACTGGCACGAAATCGAAAATCTTCTCGGTCAACATAAATAATCTCAAGTGAAATGATTTTTGCGCAAAGACGTTAGAAACTATTAAGGCCAACGCACACCTTGCTTGCTTTGACGTAGGGAAAAATTGCCACCTCCATTATTTTCTGTGAGCGGGCGTTCCACCCTGCGGATCAACTGGGGTTTGTTGAATGGGGACGCATTGCCATGTCTGAAAACACATGAGGCATTCTGCTCTTGTGCGGTGAGTACAGACATGTCTCTGCTCTGTGACTGACAAAAGGAGTGATGTAAACTTTGAGGAGAGGCACAGAGCTGCAGTAAAGGCAGGGAAAGCCCCGGTGTTCAACTCAGCAGAACACCGGCTCCTCTCCGTGAGGTAAACTCTTGTCTCTTACTAAACTCACCATGACCTCCTCAAACCAGTGTCTTTTCTCTCCTCTCACAGCCCCGTGCTGCATCTCATTTTATAACTAACAACACATCGTTGTGTTAAAGCCTTTTTAAGAAAATTTAATGAAAATTAAGACCAACATTGCACCCATTATGTGGGCAAAAAACACCAGGACTAATTCTAATAATGACCAACCAACTACGGTACTTTATCTGGAATCTGGAACCTAATGCAAATGGTGCCGCATTTTCAAGTTTAGACTTTTTGGGCATACGGTGACAAACAAGTGTGTGGAATTCGACATGCCAAACTCGTATGGTGGAGCGAGCGTATTCAGCTTTTCCACTCTGGAGGGTGGTTTTAGATTTTTGCGTTTTTAAGACTTTTTAAGGCCTTAATTTAGGAACATGAAATTTAAGACCATTTTAAGACTCTTAAGACCCTGCGACTACCCTGGTCGATGCTCTACAAGATGAATATGGAGAGTTTGTGGAGCCAATCTATTTTCCAATATATTTTTATAAGGTTCAGCATTTGTGAATCAGAAATCTGGATATTTCTTCTAAAAACAGTAAATCTCCCATCCAATCTCCCAAAACATGAAGGCAGCCTATCCATGGGTTTCAGAATGATGAGAAGTTGTCATATCAATTCATAATTTAAATATGTTTTTGAACAGGAAAAAGTCCTCAAAATGTATATACCAAGAAGCTGAAACCCATGAATTCATTTTGAAGCAATAAATCCATTCAAATCTAAATATTCTAGCTTCTGAATAGGGAATGTTCTTCACAAAATCCTTCAAATCGAATCGAATCGAATCAAAGGACTAATTTGCCTAAAACATATGGATAAGTTAGACAGTTTTTGGGAAAGACGGGAAAAATCCAGGTTTCCTTCAAGTGGAACAGTGAAATGTGTAAATATAAATCAACATCAGATGCCAGGCTTTCTCCTTGTATCCATCAAACAGAAGGGGAGAAAGCGTGTTGTTCGTATGAGAAAATACAGCTATTCCCACAGAGACTTGCCTGTAATGGCTTGACATTTAGTGTAATAGTATACTTTAAAGGGCATTAGTCTTTCACTGTGACAAGCAATGTTCTTTAAAGAGCACCAGGACAGCAGAACATGTACAATTAATGTTTTTATACATGACGGCAGTTATTATAGAAAATGAGTCTGCGAAAGGGGATTTAAAGGTACATTGAGTAACTTTTCGTAGAGAGGTTTTGGTAGAGGGTTCACCAAATACTGAGATGTCATTGCTTTGGCTCCTTGTTCACAGTTTGCAGCTAATTTTCCTAAACCATTTCATACTGAGTTCTTAATGCATGATGATGTGTTTAGGGAGTAGTCAGGAGTACGATTTTTGAGATATAGACATGTTTGTGCATACCAATTGAGAAACTGAGCCAAAAAGGATTTAAGCAACAAGATTTGGAAGTGGAAACACAGCTTATTTTTAATGAAAAATAAGTTTTAGGTATACCCTCTTGGAATGCTAGTATTGATTAATTTAGCCAAATATTTCTCAAATTCTTCAAACTATTACCAGGACTAGACCAAGACTAAACCCAGATTACAAAAAAAAAAAAAAAAAAAAACAGTCTGGATTTAAAAGCAGGTTTGGTCCAAGTCAAGACCACAATACAGGACTAAATGTTCAATGTTACATTCAGCCATTTAAATGTAAAAAATTTACCAGAAGTTCATTTCATACACAAATGTTCAAAAAATGTAGTTTTAATTTTTCTTGTCATTTTGCATGTTATCATGAAATGTTAGGGATGTAATGATATCCAAATCTCTCGGTACAATATTATCACAATATGTATCTCACGGTATGATATTTATTGTGATATTGATTTGAGGTTAAGCGAGGTTGCACCATCGGCCCCTCCAACCACCACCATCACTCACACACACACCACTTTCATACTAGGCAATGTGGGTGAAGAGTCTTGCCTAAGGACACAACATCAGTTTTGCCACTGGCGCCCCCCTGTGGCACCTGGAATTCCCAGTGGTCTCCCATCCAAGTACTAACCAGGCCCGGCCTTGCTTAGCTTCTGAGATCTGACAGGATCAGGTTTTGACAAGCCAGTATCGCCACGATGTTTCACAGTATGACATTAAACCTTTCTATCTTCCTGGAGACCAAAAAAGACCAATTTACAGGTCAGATCTGTGGAGAGGCAGCCCCGCTCACAGTCAGAATTCCTGTTTTCCTCTGTATTTTTGAGCTATAAAATCACCTGTAATTGAATAAATGTAAGTTAGAGTTTAACTTCTTGGGTTCTTTTTAAAGACAATGCAGTAAATTGTGTTTACCTTGTTACACTTTACTGCATTGTCTTTAAAAAGAACCCAAGAAGTTAAAGTATATAAGAAGACAAAATGAACATCTTTTGCTTAGTAAGTTAGAGTTGTTTAATGTCATACTGTGGAACATTCCACGCAGAGCAATGGAAACAGGCAGGTGACAGACCCCAAACCAAAAGTTATGTACCTTTAAACCTGTCCAGAGGTTGAGACACAGATAAAACACTGTTTATAGAAAGTGTAGGGAAGTAACTGAATACATGTACCAAACATATGTATTCTGAACACTAATTTTGAGTAACTATATTCTGATAAAGTTACTTTTTCATTTGGTGTTATTCAGAATACAGTTACCTTCCTGAATTCAAATGAATACAGGGCAGGACTTTAAATAATCTGGGCTTTGAACTGCATGATATTAGTGAGAAAAAAGAAAGAAAAAAGAAAACATCGTCTCTAATTAGACATAAATTAATACATAATAATAAAAATAAAGTTGTTTGTAATTACAAGTCTTGTTTTTGTTTTTTTTACACTATAATATAATGAAACTCAAAGTAAAAGTATTCTAAGTATTCAGAAACAGTACTCTGATTTGCCCATGTATCAGAATATGTTACAAAACACATTTTAACTTGGGTATTCAGTATTCTGTAACTAAACACATTTTCAAAGTGTTCTTCCCATCCCTGTTTGTAGATGTGTACATGTGTGTAGGTTTAGAAACGTGTTTGGTATCAGACCTTGTGCAGAGACGTGCGCTCCACCAGCTGGAAGGGGGCGGGGTCAATCTTACAGTTGTTAAAGTTGACCTGCTCATCAAGCTGCATCTCCTCCCACTCTGCAATCTGGAACAAAAACATACCAATACACGGATAAGAAGAAGTAGGCGGTACTCAGTTACATTTATTTGAGTGTTTTTGTTTTTTTTTTTATTTCCTACTTGAGTTATATTTTTATTGAAGTAACAGTACTCCAACATGAGTGAAGTTTGGTTTTCTCTTAAGTTTACATGTGACAAAAGCTTTATGTCGACAATATGAAATGATTTGAACATTTGAGTTTCCTGCACCATTCATTCAGATATGTTTTTTTTTTTTTTGGAAGGAGAAATACAGTTTATTTCTAAAGAAAATAGGTTTTAGGTATACCCTCTTGGAATGCTAGTATTCCTTAATTTAGCCAAATATTTCTCAAATTCTTCAAACTATTACCAGGACTAGACCAAGACTAAACCCAGATTACAAAAAAACTAAAAACAAAACATAAAACAGGATTAAGTCTGGATTTAAAAGCAGGTTTGGTCCAAGTCAAGACCCTACAATACAGGACCAAATGTTCAATGTTAAATTCAGCCATTTAAATGTAAAAGTTTACCAGAGGTTCATTTAATACACAAATGTTCAAAAAAATTTGTTTCTTTTCATTTGACATGTTATCATGAAATGTTAGGGATGTAACGATATCCAAATCTCTCAATATTATCACGATATTTATTGCTATACAAGTTACATTTACTTGAGCATATCTATATTTTTTAATATTTATTTTATTTCCTACTTGAGTAATATTTTTTATTGAAGTAGCAGTACTCCTACATCAGTGAAGTTTGGATTTCTCTTAAGGTTACAAATGACAAAAGCTTTATGTCGACAATATGAAATGATTTGAACATTTGAGTTTCCTGCACCATTCATTCAGATAGGTCGGGTTTTTTTTTTTTTTTTTTTTTTTTTTTTCCTTTCCGAATGTGTATATCCTTTGAAAATACCAGATTCTGTGGATTATTTAAAGTTTTGTCCTTCACATTACAGTTTCCTGCACCATTCATCCAGATAGAATGTAGACTTTTTTATTTTTATTTTTTTTCAAATTTTTGTTTTCTATCCTTTGAAAATACCAGATTCTGTCCATTGCTTAACAATTCCTCTTTAAGTTACTCCTACTTGAGTTCTTTCGTGGATCTCTACTTTGTACTTCTACTTGAGGAATATTATTTTGTAGTAACGTTACTCTCTCCACCTCTGGGCACAAACAGAAGGTAGTGTTGGATATAATACCAGATATAAAGTGTTCAATAAAATGGGTCAATTTTTGTTTTAGCAGGTTTGACATTCAATATAATAAGTCAAAAACCATCCAGAGAAAGGTTTATTAGACTTGGATCCAAGAGGGAGAGTTAAGGTTAAGTAAAGGTTGAGGTACACTTTAATGTCCCCGCATGGAAATTTGTCCTCTGCATTTGATCCATCTTCACACAGCTGCACGAGGAAGTGACTACGTATCTGTACTGTCCAACACTAACATGAATCTGTGTATTATTAGTTCATTAGTTTTTCGAAATAAAACCAAAAATATTTCATTATTTGTCAAAAAAAAACTGATAACGTTTCATTTTTTCAGTTTTCCATTTTGAGTTTAAATGAATAATGGAAAAAAACAAATAACAGCCGTTTCCTGTTTTCGTGACTTAAACTGTGATGTCGGATTTTTGCGCTGCATACGGACTGAACCAGGACTGAACCAGGATTAAACAGGACTAAACCAGGTCTAAACCAGGAATAAATCTGTCTCAGTCCTGGTCTCAGTCCCGGTCTCAAGTCCTGGTTTGGTCTCGGTCTCAGTCGTCTCAGTCGTGGTCTCAGTCGTGGTCTCAGTCGTGGTCTCAGTCGTCTCAGTCCGGTCTCAGTCCCCGGTCTCAGTCCCGGTCTCAGTCCAGTCCCGGTCTCAGTCAGTCCCGGTCTCAGTCCGGTCTCAGTCCGGTCTCAGTCCCTGGTCTCAGTCCTGTCCCGGTCTCAGGTTTAGTCTGGTTCCGGTTCTCAGTCCTGGTCTCAGTCCCTGGTCTCAGTCCTGTCTCAGTCCCTGTTCAGTCCCTGTCTCAGTCCCTGTCTCAGTCCCTGTCTCAGTCCCTGGTCTCAGTCCTGGTCTCAGTCCCGGTCTCAGTCCTGGTCTCAGTCCCTGGTCTCAGTCCTGGACTCAGGTTTAGTCTGGTTCCGGTCTCAGTCCTGGTCTGGTCCCAGTCTCAATCCCGGTCTCCGTCCTGGTCCCAGTCTGGTCTCGGTCTGGTCCCGGTCTCAGTCCTGATTACCCAACAGTCCTCCAGGCCCGTCTCGAAACATCACAGTTTAAGTCACGGAAATGGGACATTATCCATTTTGTCCATTATTCATTTTAAACCTAAAATCGAAAACTGAAGAAAATGAACTGTTATCTGTTTTTTTTTTGTTGTTGTTTTTTTTTTTCATTTTGGTTTTGGAGACAAATAATGAAGAAAAGAGTTGTTTTTTCATTTTCTTATATATATATATATATATATATATATATATATATATATATATATATTATTTTTTTTTTTTTTTTATTTTGAAAAACAAATGAACGAATGATACAGGGATTAAAATGGTATAACAGAATTTTGCACTGACAGAATCAAGAAGCACATTGGCTTGATTCATGCGAAACTTTGTCTTATTAGTGGTGGATTCTTGCATCAGACCTGAGCTATTTTGCCTAACACATACCGTTACTAACTTCTGAGTATATTGCAATGACATTTTTGTGTGTGTGTGTGTGTGTGTGTGCTTTCTAGTAAGTAACAAAGGTGAGAACAGCTCGTCTGGGGTGAGGATGAGTGCAGGAGAGGGGGAGAGGCTGACAGAGCGGAAATGAGAAGTGCTGTTGATGGATGAATTATGAATGATACGAAATCCAAAAATATGAGACCGCCGGCTAATCTGTCGCTCTGGAAATATTGAGAGCTGTCAGTCACAGATGTGTGCCTCGAAAACCTTAACAAGTGCCAGTCAAAGATGTACACTACTATAGATAATACAGTATATCTTCAATTTCTAGTATACTCATGGTATTTATGGTTTGTGATGCAATGAAAACTGTAAATTCTCATTGTAAATCCTTAAAGGTCCTATATTAAACTATTTTCTGATCTATGTTATAATGTTTCCTCATCACAAACAGACCTGGAGTTGTGTTTTGTTTCATTCACACATGTTTAACACACAAATCCTACATATTTACGCCGAGTTCATCATTTGGATTATTTAAGACCTGGAGTTGACAATCTCTACTGAACTAAGGATAAAAGGAACTTGAAAACTGCCAGTATATGACATCACAAGGTGGAATAGAGCATTTGGAGATGTAGACAGACTAATAATAAAGTATGACTCAAACATGTGTGAATGAAACAAAACCCAACTCCAAGTCTGTTTTTGATGAGGGAACAACATTATAACATGTTTTATACCAGTCTTTCCCAAACTTTTTTTTTTTCTGGGGACCCATATTTTAAAAGTCTAAACCTTTGCGACCCAAGTCAATAGACATTATTCATAAATCACAAAATAAAGGTGGATTTCACAATTATTATAGCATTAATGAAGATATTTTATTGTTGACTGAGTGATCGTGTCTCTAAATAATTAGTATTACTCAAGTTTTAAACATTGTAAAACAGTAACTGAACCAGCAATAAAAAGGATCCATAAGTTGTCTATTTGGACATTAAATGTAGCCCATTTCTTTTTCTTTTCAATAGTGATGGGCAAATGAGTCGGAGCTCTGGAGCACGTCTCGTTCTTTCTGAAACAAATCACTCTGAAGCTCTGCCTCGGAGCTCGTCTCACAGCAGCCGCTCATGTGACCAAAGTGTGGAAGTGTCGGTCCCTCCCCCTACTGCTTCGCTCTGCGTGTCGATCGCTTCAGTGTATCGAAGCGTTTCATTGGCTCAGCGAATGTTCCACTCTGCGACTGGTTCAGTGCTTCAGAGTGTTCAGCGCACTTCTGTGGTTTGACAAGCGCTAAACTGCTACAGTATAAAAGATGCACCAATATTTCTTAATAATGTTGGGTAGTGAGGAGGATTGTGTGACGTTAGTGGTGATTTTGGTGACTTTTGGCGACTTTTGGCATTTGTTTCATTTTCGATGGCATCTACAAGTGGAAAAAAGCGATCCATGGTTTGGGATCACTTTGATCTAATTCCACCTAACAAGGTAACACCTATTTTCTTATTTACAGCTGCTATTTATGTTGCTCTTTACACATTACTTTAAATCATCATTATTATTGTTGTTGTTAGTACGGTGTCGCTCTGCACACAAGTATTGTCTTACACTAACAATACTTCATCGATGCTGAGACACCTGCGTGCCAATGGTTAAATTTGTCCACTAGAGGTCAGTGTTTCTCCAAGTCCTCAGACACGTCGAACCATCTGAGACAATATTGCGACTGAGGTGTCAATGCTTCACGAGGCTCCATTCGCCCATCACTACTTTTCAATATTCAACTTGAGCCAAAATACTCAATAAAATAATTACAAACAGATTAGAAATTATGCAAAACATGTCTTAATGTTTCAATATTTCTAATGAGATAAGTGGGTCTGTGTTTTTGTAGCGTGTTCCAGTCCAGGGTGCAGGAGGAGAGCGCAACACATATCAGGCGCACAGTTCAGTCTGTTTCTGTGCTTTGTGTTTCTTCATTTTTGTGAGCACAGAAAATTCCAGTTCACACACATATATGTAGTAGTGAAAGAAATAAACATGGAAACACTGGCCCTACTGAGGACAAGATATTCTGATGAAATGCTCATCCAGAGTGACAATAAGGTCACAGATCCATATATGCAACTGTATTTTGCAGACCTACATGCAGATCGTGACAAGGAAACTCCAAAAAAATCTCTTGCGGCCCACCTGAGGGTCACAAACCAATCTTTGGGAAACGATGCCTTTACGCTCACAAAAATCAGTTTTGCATAATATAGAACCTTTAATATTTGTCAAATAAAATCTCTACTTTTGTCTTGCACCATTTATTAAAAGATGCATCACAGGTTTTTTTTTTACTTGTCACCATGGAGATGTTATTGCCTGAGATTATTCATAGTATCTTATTAAACTAATCCATTTTGCATTTATTCAAGCAGGTGCCAGTTCTTCCTCCAGAAAAGTTGCGCACTTTTAAACCCATTTTTATTCTCACCCATATACTTTTTCTTTTAAAAGTTGTTTTCTGAAGTGGCTCTCCAAAGCTACAAATGCATCCGTGAACCGTGTAACCTCGTGGAGTCATAAGCGGTGGAAAAGCTGTAGTCATTTTGCTGTACATCCCCAACCTCCTAAAAGAAATGGTACTTTTCTATTGGATTTCTGTGTTTGGAGATGTTCTGTGCTGTTGCCCCCTGTCTCTAAATCCAGTGGAGTCTGTGGGTGTTTGTGTATCTGTGTTTAAAGTGGAGCTCTCACCTCTCTCATGGTCATATCGTCCTCCACATCTCCATCATCCTGTACCGAAAAAACAAAGAACAATCTGTGAGAACAAAATATGGAAAAGCATCAAAACAACTGCACAGGAGCTACTTCAGTCTATCTTCTCAAAATGTATCGGAACACTGAGGACAAATGTTGTTTCTTTTTCTGTCTAGAACAAACTTTATTGACTAAAGAACAATCTCAAAATGATTTAAAGGTGCTCTGTGTAAGTTTTCTGGTGGTCTCCATGGAGATATTATTGCTTTGCCCAGAATGGTCTTCAGTATGGCATTGAACAAGTAACAGCACCAGGTCAAGTTACAGGTCAGATCTGTGGAGAGGTGACCCCGCACAAAGTAAGAAACACTAAGTAAAAACACCAGTAATAAAATAAAAGCTAATAAAATCCAGGCAAAGCAATAACATCTCCACGGAGACAGAGGTGACCGACAAGTACCAGAAAAGTTACATAGTGCTCCTTTAATCAGGCATTTACTTGTTATGACTAGGTTGGTGTTAATTGTTTTAGATGTAGATTTATTTTGTGAAATTTTTGACTTGGTTCCAACATAACTTAAGTTTTACCAGAAAAAAGTAAAAAATAAAAATAAAAACATGTTAATATGAATTAGTCAAAACTGAAATTAAGAATATTATCCTGAATTTAACAGTGCACAATGCAACTTTTCTGGCGGGCTTGTTTTCATGGAGGTGTTATTGTTTTGTCTGAAATGTTCCACAGTATGGCATTAAACCCATGTGGCAAGTATTTAATTAGAGGTGTTTTACTGCTAAAGAAATGCCTTAATAAGCATGCATTCTTGTTGTGAAAAAGGGTCGCCTCGTCTCTCCACAGATCTGACCTTTAACTCGGGCTGGTGGAATCTCAATGAATATGAACGAGTTTAAAGCTGTATTGTGAAATATTCCAGGCAAAGCAATAACATCTCCATGGAGACAAGCAGGAATAACAGGAATGTAACACAAGCACATACATTTTGGTCAATATTTAAAGGTGCATTGTGTAACTTTTCCGGAGGGTTGAGATGTTATTGCCTTGTTTTGGAATGTTTCGCAGTGGCCACGTTTACATGTTGTTGTTTTTGTTTTTTTTAATTCCGAATTAATTATTCAGAATTAAATAGTCTGGACTGAAATAATTCGCCTTCAAATTTACATGGAAATAATAATTCTGAATTGAGGTTTACGTGGAAAACACATTAAATCACTTTTATTTAATTCCTCTCAAGGTCTGGGGGTCGTGAAGAGTTCTGCTTGGACAGGGACATGAACGTATTTATGTCAACCAGAAGAAAATACACATTCAGCTGCTACTGGCTTTTTTATCATCTCGGTTTGTTGTTGCGCCACGGACACAATCGTGATACAATCTTTTTCGCAGCCGTTCCGATGATAATAAAACAGCAGCTCGAGAATTATATCATTGCGCTTTACGTCTGTCAGCTGAGGAAAATTGTTTCGGTTCGAGACCAACGTTTGCTCCGGGTCACTATCTTGCAGTGCGTCATCACGTCAGAAGGGTCCGCTAAACAACCAGATGTATTTTTAAGAGGAATAAACGTTTACATGATCAAGGAATAAATTAATTCGGCTTTAATTTTTTTGAATAAACTACCCAATTACTTCGGAATCAAGTTTAATTAAGTTTAATTCCGAATAAATGTTTACATGGTCTTTTTGAAACTGAATATAATTTTTATTCCAAATTCAATTATTTTTAATCAGAATTAAACCTCTCGTGTGAACGTGGCAAGTATAACATTAAACCTTTATCTGAGACCAAATCAGACCAAGTTACAGGTCAGATCTGTGCAGAGGCGACCCCGCTCCCAGTCAAAATGCCTGTTTTTTTAGGTATTTTTGAGCTATAAAACCACCTGTAATTGAATAAACGTAAGGTAGATTTGTGGAACATTCCAGGCAGAGCAATGACATCTCCATAAAAACAAGCAGGTGACGGACCCCTAACCGAAAAGTTACACGGTGCACTTTCAATTTAACTTTCACAGTATATCGATTTATAGATTAGTTGACTTGAAGACTGTCTTGTCCCTTGACCCTGGCGCCTCCACATTAGCGCGGAGAGAGTCAAATGAAACAGCGGGGAGACATAATTAGGCTGGTTTAGCTGTGAGTGCTCAGAGACAGATGGGCACAAGTGAGTGAGTGAAGAGGAGACTCCAGTACATTTAATGAGGGCGGGGGCGTGATTCATGACACAGAAGATGGTCGTTAGGATGATGGAGCTACGGCACTTTGCGGAGTGACAAGCCGAGACTGGGATCTAACTCGCAACCCCTGGGAAGAATAAGTGTGGAGTTGTTTGGACAAGATAATGTTGTATTATTAAAGCTCATACATTACGCGAAACTGACTCTTGTGAGCTTTAAATCACGTTTTAATGTTGTTACCTCCTCAAAAACATTCTGGAGTTGTGTTTTGTTTCATTCACACATGTTTGAGTAACTCTTTATTATTAATCTGTCTATATTTCCAAAGCTTAAAATGCTCCGTTTGAACTGGTGATGTCATGAATTGGTAGAGTGCTTTCTGTCTGAGAGAAGAACTCAGCGTAAATGTGCAGGTTTTGTGTGTTAAATGTGTGTGAATGAAACAAAACACAACTCCAGGTATGTTTGTGATGAGGAAACAACATTATAACATACTGTAGATCTGAAAATAGTAATATTGGCCCTTTAAAAGTATTATAAACATAAACAGGGCTAGCTGGAGTCAGATTTCAGTCTATGTCAAACTGAAAAGACCAATAGATTTAAACAAAAAAGCAACAAAAATTTAAACAAAATTACAGCAATAATCTGAATGTTATTGAAACTGGTCCAAGCAAGTAATGCAATTTACAAAGTAACTTTTATACAACAGCTAAACCAGAGAGTCCATGTATTTTTATTTCATCAGGTCCTCAAGGCTTTTTCTCTCTCTTTCAAATAATTTATAAAAAGTGTCCCCGAAGAATTATAACATTCTATCTTATGTTTTTGTCAGTTTTGTTTTCACACATATATTCTTCTTCCTGACCACCTTCTGTACACTTTTATCAAATTATATGAGCAAAAAATATTTCATAATTCCACTGTGCTCTATGAGTGGTCAAAACTTGAGACCCCAGTGTTTAAGAACTAAGCTGAACACAAGATAGAAAGACACATTTGCACGGGATTAGTATGACCTGTGGACCTTTGGTGATTTGTAATAATTGCGGAGGATGCCTGAGATCTGTATCCTGTGCGATTGTGCCATGTCTGTAATTTGTAAAGTAAAAATTACGCTGCCAATTACCTACTATATTTCGCCAAACACAGACATCCGGTGATAATACTAGTCCAGTGTGAGTCTGCATCTCAGTGTTTGTTGTTGTAATTAAACACCTTTTTCTTTTCGCGTTCTTTTCTCAAATAGAGTAATTTAGAGACTTTGCTTATCCCATGCAAATGCGCTCCAAGTAACACACAGGTGGGGCGGTAATTTGCAAATTACCAGATGTTCCCAGGTTGTATTTATCCCGTGCGAGTAAGGCTTATGAGCAGAGGCGGTGCTACCATTACGCAACAGTAGGCGGCTGCCTAGGGCCCCCAAAACCTAAAGGGGCCCCCCAACCAATTTGTCCTCAGTGCCACTAACGGTCGAGGCCTCAAAGCTATTTGATTTTCTCTCAATATGACATTAAATGATAGTCTACTTTTAAGCGATCATAAGAAAAATAATCATAATCATAAGAAAAAAATAATAATCATATGTAATGGATGTAAACAAAAATGTAATTGTACAAGCAAAAAAATAAAACAACTGTCAGTTCTGGTTATCTAGTAGGCGACTGAACTAATAAGACAAGTTTCCAAGCCATCATAATTCAAATAAATAGAGATGTGCATGTCTCAAGAACAATGGGGAAAAACAGACAACAAACTATATAGTAAAAAAAACAAAAAAACAAAAAAACAAAACCGTGGATTATAATGAGGGCGCCAAACTCAATTTTACCTAGAGTCCCCAAATTGCTAACTCCGCCACTGCTTATGAGTGGTCAAAACTTGAGACCACAGTGTTTATGAACTCCCCTGAACACAAGATAGAAACTTAGAAATATAAAGGGGACAAAAAGTGAACAGAATCTTCAGTCCTAATTCTCCGACTACGTACTTCTCACCAAGAAAGTACAGCCAACAATCTGGAGAAGATCTACTGCTCCCTTCAGTCTCTTTGACAGATAGATAAAATGTAAAAGGCATATTCTTTCTCGACCAAATTAACTGTATACCCCACGTTGGTTATTCCAGGGTCCTAAATAGTGACTCTTTAAATGGTAAATGACCAGTTGTATAAAGTGCTTTTCCACTTATTCACACACTCATTCATACACCAATAAACACAGACACGACCCAAACTAATCAGGCTGGTAATATTGTATTGAAACAAGTCACTAACATTTTAATACATATCCTGACTTTAAAGTAAACCTAAGTGAGTAAATGTAACTGAGGCGAGGCTGGTTAAGTGTCTTGCCCAAGGGCACAATGACAGTATACACCTGTGAGATCAAACAGGCAACTTTCAGATCAGAGTATGAACACTGTACCGACATAGCAACCGTCCCCGTGTTATTATGTCTCAAAATGACTGTAAAAACACGTATTATTAATGTGGGCGGGTCCACTTCTCCACGGATCAGACCTGTAACTTGGCCTGGGGATGTGGCTGGCTTGTCTCCATGGAGATTAAAGTAAGCATCATAGTATAGAACATTTGAAGAAAAAAATTAATTAAGTCAAGCGGGTGATGGACCTTCTACCAGAAAAAAAATGTCAATTTGTTTTTCAATATAAAACCAAAAACCAAGAAAACAAAAGAAAAAACAACTGTTTTCTTCATTATTTGTCTCCAAAACCAAAATGAAAAAAAAAAATGGATAATGATTAGTTTTTTTTCTGTTTTCAATTTTGTGTTTAAATTAATAATGGCAAAAACAGATAATGGCAGTTTCCTGTTTTCGT